AAACAGTCTGAAACATTTCCGAAACATTTTGGATGGATCTGTTCAGTTCTGGAGCTGTTTCAGAGCATTGCATTTTGTTTTGGCTGCCAAAACATCAGAATTTGAAACTAAACAAAATAGCTGCTGAAATTTGCAAGCCCTAATTGCCAGTAGTCCTGTAGCATCTGTTCTTGTGGTGTCAGTGGTGGCAGCAGGGTCCAAACAAGGCTCTGTGACATCTTCTATGGCTGGGTGGACTGGCAGGGAGGCTGCTGCTCTCCTTCCAACCATTTGAGGGTAGGGAGGAGAGTGGAGGACTATGGGGTGTTGGACACGTGTAATGCTACTAATGCCGTATTGCAGATAAGTTCCTTCTTCAAACAGAAACTTTTTTTGTGGCAGATCCACCATTTTTATGATGCCAAAGGCAGTGTGAAGTGCAGTGCTACAAATATCTGTCTGTCCATACCATAATTTATTTGAGCAAAGGGTGCATGAGAAAGAGGGAAAAGTACTTTCTGTTTTCATATGTAAAAGGAGACAGTAATGAGAAGGTTATGAATACTGTGATACATGACAAATAATATGCTGACTTCCTATGTGAAATTTTCTTTCAGTTAAAGTTACGAAGGCCTTTTTTATTAAATGATCTCCTGCCTTAAGAGACCATCAAGAAGATTCTTTAAATGGACAGACTACAGTTCTGCTCCATATTCATTAAAAGATCACCTCTGCTAGACAAACTAATTTGTTGGCTCCATAAGATATGTTTCATTATATTTCTTTTTTAGTACTGGAATTTTTCTTGTTAGTTGTCCAAACCTAATTAAAATTTTGCATTGTCTTTTTCACTGACCATATATTGACCCTTCTAAAACATAATTAAACTAGCAGTGAATTTTGTTAACTTCTCTTTCGTGCACTAATGTTAATTAGTTGAACTAGACACTGTTGTCTCCTTACTGTTATTAAAATCAATTGCATTTCCTTTTTTAGCTTTATTTTTTTATATTGTAAAAATAATGTTACAAAAGTTTCCAACAGTATAACTTGATTTTAATTTCTTAATATTTACATTGTGATATAACTTAATAGGCTAAGTGGAGATGTAGAGAATTAGTCTGTCAGAATAATCTATAGACATCTTCCTGTTCCTATGTGCCATTGCTGTTTTTTCTCAAACAAACAATGGATCCTGTTTATGCACCCCTTACAAGTGACAAACCCTAGTTGAAACTTAGATTTTAAAATGTATTTGGAAACCTAGGCTGCCTTTACTTGGACCTGAGCCTTAAGACAGGTATATAATTGTTCTTATAATATTTTATTTCTTGTTAGATAAAGTGTGAATCAATGTCTATTTCCTCAGTGGCGTTCTTTTAAGTGATTTATTCTTATACACGTAAGCATATATTCATCAACTTGAGAGTTGATTATAATCATGCACATATTCCAGATGCTGGGCTCCTGAAACATCATTTAAATGTGATATATTTGTAATGCATCTTTAACAGTGTGAAATCAAGTTTGTATCACATGCTTTGCTTTTGTCATTCAGCCAGTTGCTTAATGCACATACTGTGCATGCATGCTATTTTAATCTGTATTTTCTCAGCCAGCACCTTGTAAAACAGCTAATGTGTCTGAATTTCCTGTTTACAAATAACATGATCTCATACATTTGTAATTTTGATGCTTACATGCTTTTATGCTGTGAAAAATTGCCAAATCTGACTTCTTTTCCTCCCCCCCTGTGGTTTCTTACAGGTTTGAAGAACTTGTGAAAAAGTTCAAAGTAGAATATCATGCTGGTGGCTCTACTCAAAATTCTGTTAAAGTGGCCCAGGTTTGTTCCTCTTTAAAAGAAATAACTAAGACATTCTGAAAGTGTTGACTGTTAAACAGCTTCTTGTTATTCTATGTTCCTTATCATGTTGCCCAGGAGCATTACACAGTGGGTTCATGCTATTTTATTGCCTGCAATAAGTTTAGCTTTGCATTCTAAAAGATATATTCTGATGTTTTTGCCCTTTTGTTATTTTCTTTTGCACTGTTATTGTTAAGATTACAACATTTCCATTATAACCACACTTACTTGTTAAGGATTTGAAACTTGTTCATAAAAGATTAAAGCAAAAGTTTTTTATATGAAGAGAATTTTAACACACTTTAGTAAAGGATGGGTTCTATATGTGTACTTTGATAACTGAAAATATACTTTGTCACAATACTACTGAACAAAAGTGATAAGTTTGTAGATGTATTTTAATTTGTAGCATGGGTATATAACATAAACTCCAGAAATTAAAAATATGCAGCCTTTTTGCTAATGGAATGGGGGCCTTGGTAATTTTCAAACGTTCTGTATGGCTAAAACTTATTGTCAAATACCTTCAAATTCACAATTTGAATATAAAAGAGAAAAGTTAATGATTCATTTTCTTTTATAGCTATAGTCACATTTTTCTCTTAGTCAAAATGATTGCCATTTCCTGTAACTTACGATGGTTGAAGAAGATTGGAGGTGTTTATGAGCCAATACTGGGGATGTAGCCACTCTCACAGGGCACTGATAGACGTGGAAAACCCCCTCTCCATGCTTTACTGGAAGAAGCGGTGTGTTAGTTTGAGTCAAAGAGCAATACACGTTCTCAACAAACAACATGGCGTCAGAGGAGGGGCAGACTGAAGTGCTCTGGGTTAGAATACACGGGGATTGTGGGGAAAGGGACTTAACGGTGGGTCTCTACTACAGACCACCCAACCAGGGGGAAGAGCTGGACCGGGAATTCTCAGGTCAGCTCTCAGAGGCAGTTAAGTCAAGGGACGTGGTCATCATGGGTGACCACGTCTAAACTACCCAGACATCTGCTGGGAGGAGCAGTCAGCCAGGTCTGAATGCTCATGTAGGTTCCTACCCGAGATACAGGACCTCCACCTAACCCAGGAGGTGCACAGTTCCACCAGGGGAAATGCCTTGCTGGACCTGGTCCTGGCCACTGGTGACGACCTGGTTGAGGGACTGTGGGTTCTTGACCACCTGGGTGATAGCGATCATCGCCTACTGGAATTCACTATACAGCGCAGGGTGTCAAGGACCTGCAGCAAGGCAGTAGCCCTTGATTTCAGAATGGCTGATTTCAGTGAGTTAAGACAATGAATTGGAGAGGCACTGAGGTCCCGGAGGGTAGGGGAGTTGGGAGCCCAAGACGAGTGGTCGTTCCTTAAGGAGACAATCCTCCAAGCCCAAAGGGTGACAGTCCCAATGCGAATCAAAGGGGGCAAGAGTGCTCAAAAGCCCCCGTGGCTCACCAAAGGCATTTAGGAATGTCTGAAAGCTAAAAAGGAGGTGTACATCCAGTGGAAGGAAGGGGCTATCACCAAGGAGGATTGTACCTCCATTGCTTGAGACTGTAGGGGGGCTGTTAGGAAGGCTAAGGTGGAGTGTGAATGACTTCAAAGTGTGAACGATGAGGAGAGAAGAGATCAAGTTGAGACTGTTTCTGTTTGATGAGTCCCTTGGATAGACTCCATAAAGTGTCAATGTCTGTCCAGCTCTACTTCTCACCAGAGATCCTTGTCATCTGTAACACTGCAGAAATGTGTACCAATGCACTAGTTAAGTTCCCAGTCTCAAGAAAGGTCACCAACTAAAGGTCATAGATTCATAGAAGTAGGGTCAGAAGGGACCTTGTAAATCATCAAGTCGGCCCCCCTACCCTGGGCAGGAGAGAAAACTGGGCTCAAATGACCCCAGCCAGGTAGACATCAAGCCTCCTCTTAAAGACCCCCAGGGTAGGAGCCATCACCACTTCCCTTGGAAGTTGGTTCCAGATCCTAGCTGCCCTGACTGAAGTAGTGCCTTCGGATGTCTAGTCTAAACCTACTCTCTAACAATTTGTGGCCATTATTCCTTGTTACCCCGGGGAGCGCTAGGGGGAACAAGGTCTCTCCCAAACCCTGCTGGTCCCCCCTAGTGAGTTTATAGATGGCCACCAGGTCCCCCCTCAGCCTTCTCTTGTGAAGGCTGAACAGGTTAAGGTCCCGTAGCCTCTCTTTGTAGGGTCTGCCCTGCTGTCCCTGGATCATGCGGGTGGCCCTCCTCTGGACCATCTCAATGCTGTCCACATCCCTCCTGAAGTGCAGCGCTCAGAACTGAACACAGTACTCCAGCTGCGGCCTGACCAGTGTTGAATAGAGGGGGAGGATCACCTCCTTGGCCCTGCTTGAGGTGCATCTGTGGATGCACGACAAGGTATGGTTAGCCCTACTGACCGTGACCTTGCATTGTCGGCCCATGTTCATCTTTGAGTCAATAATGACTCCTAGATCTCTTTCTGCCACCGTGCTCTCGAGAAAGGAGTTTCCCAGCTTATAAGTGTGCTGCTGGTTTCTACTGCCCAAGTGCAGCACCCTGCACTTGTCAGTATTGAAACCCATCCTATTTTCATTAGCCCACCCCTGTAACCTATCCAGGTCCTGCTGTAATCTGTCCTTCCCTACTAGCATGCCCACCTCACCCCAAATCGTGGTATCATCAGCAAATTTAAACAGGCTGCTTTTTACCCTGTAGTCCAAGTCACTAATAAAGAAATTGAACAGTGCAGGCCCGAGGACTGAGCCCTGGGTGACTCCACTGCCCACTTCCCTCTGGATCGAAAAAGATTCGATTCCACCACTACCCTCTGAGTACAACCCTTCAGCCAATTTGCAATCCATCTGACTGTGTAGGCATCAATGCCACAGTCACCTAGTTTTTTGATGAGAATGGGGTGGGAGACAGTGTCAAAGGACTTGCTGAAGTCCAGAAAGACTACATCCACCGTGGCACCTGCATCCAATGCTTTTGTGACCTGATCGTAGAAGGCAATCAGGTTGGTCTGACATGACCTGCCCCTAATGAAACCGTGCTGGTTGCCCTTGAGCATCATCCCCGATGCCAGCCCATCACAGATGTGCTCCTTGATAATCTTCTCAAAGAGTTTCCCCAGGATTGAAGTAAGACTAACGGGTCTATAGTTGCCCGGTCCTCCCTCTTCCCTTTTTTAAAGATGGGGACCACATTGGCTATCTTCCAATTATCTGGCACCTGGCCAGAGCACCATGAGTGCTCGTAAAGCCATCCCAGGGGCCCCGCAATAACCCCTGCCGATTCCCTCAACTCCCTGGGGTGGAGAGCATCTGGACCTGCTGATTTGAACACGTCCAGCCCCTCCAGAAGCTCTCTAACCCAGTCCTCTCCAACCTTAGGCCTGGCGGCGTATCTCCCGAGTCCGTCTGGAATCTTGGTCGGGGAGTCCTGGTCCCTGCACAAGAAAAAGGAGGCGAAGAATTTGTTAAAGAGGTCTGCTTTCTCCTCTGGTGCAACCACCAGATTGCCAAGCATATCCTGCAGGGGCCCCACATTAGCCGGTGCCTTCTTCATTCTCCCTATATATTTAAAAAATAACTTATTATTTTCTTTGATCCTTGACGCTAGCCCTAGCTCCGTATCTGCCTTAGCTTTTCTAACAGCCCCACTACAGACCTGAGCGGTGGAGGTATACTCCTCTTTGGTGATAGCCCCTCCCTTCCACCGGGTGTATGCTTCCTTTTTGGCAATCAATCATTCGTGAATGCCCTTGGTGAGTCAGGGGGGCTTTTGGGCACTCTTGCCCCCCTTGCTTCTTGTTGGGATTGTCACCCCTTGGGCTCTGAGTATCATCTCCTTAAGGAACAACCACTCATCTTGGGTGCTGGGTTCCCCTACTCTCAAGGACCCCAGCACCTCTCCCACTAATCTCAACTCATTGAAGGTGGCCTTCTTAAAGTCTAGGGCTACTGCCTTGCTGCAGGCCCTTGGCACCCTGCGCTGGAAGGTTGAATTCCTGCAAGCGATGATTGCTATTGCCCAGGTGGTTGAGGACCTGGAGCCCTCTTACCAGGTTGCCGCCTTCCTGGGTTAAGTGGAGGTCCTGTATCTCGGCCAGGAACCTCTGTGAGCGGTCAGACCTGGCTGACTGCTCTTCCCAGCAGATATCCGGGTAATTTAGATAACCCATGACAACTACATCCCTTGCCTTAAGTGCCTCCGCAAGCTGACTTGAGAATTCACGGTCCAGCTCTTCCCCTTGGTTGGAAGGTCTGTAGTAGACCCCCACCATTAAGTCCCTTTCCCCACGACCCCCCCTGTATCCTGACCCAGAGCACTTCAGCCTGCCCCTCCTCTGACCCCATCCTGCTGGTAGAGGATGTGTATTGCTCTTTGACATGGAGCGCCACACCCCCACTTTTCCTTTAGGTGTTTAGGGGCCTTTTCTGCTATTTCCCTCCTATAGCCATTCTGACCAGTTCTCAGTTTTCCACAGGCTATGATGGGCATCAGCCAAATTATACAGATCCATCATCATCTTGTTCCTGTGTTGCTGCAAGTTGCCAACTCAGTCCCTGGTCCAGCCTGTCTCTGGCAACAATAATAATTTTTTCTATGAAAAAATGTCTTCTCAGCCTTCTTTTCTTGAGAAGAATGGAGAATATCAGAACCTCTTGTGATCTACTGCTACAAACCTATAATTGTCTCTAGAGAAATTTACTGAACTTCTTGCCAACATTGGTGTATTTTCTACCAGCCAGGGCAATCAAAAATGTTACTCCTAATTATAAATGTAATTCTTGATCTGGCAGATCCTCTAGTGTACAAACGCATGTAGTCTGCCAAGCAGATAGAGTTTATAGACAGGAAATACAGTGTCAAATCTCAAAGTGCAGAGTATTTATATTCACATCCTACACAGTAGCAGCAGCTAACAAAAACATTGAGTATCCCAGATTGGCACTTAAGGATAAGGAACCAAAGCATTTGGACCT